ACACATTAACCTATAAATAGCAATGTTTCCAACTTCTACAACTATATCACAGACTTCATTAAGTCATGTAAAATACAAGGAGTTCCATCTGGGGTGAGTTGTAAAACCACACCACAAATTATGTCAACACTTCACTATCTTCCTGTGCTGCACCAAGAAGAAAAAGAACCCAGCACTGACTTTTAAAGCACATTAAGAATGACTGTAATTTTACCTAAGAGACTGCTCTCTAATCTAATACAAGTTACATAATTCTAACTCCTAACAAAGTGTCAGGACTAATCAAAAACAAACTTAGTCCTTTCTTTTTTAATGTTGTTTTTGGCCATTTTATGCCTTTAATGGATAGGACCAGAAGAGACAGAGAGGAGATTCAGGGAGAGAGAGCAGAGGAATGACATGCAGCAAACTCACTGCTCAGGGAATATGAGTCCAAGTGGTTTGCACCCTAACCATTCAGCTATCAGGTCGCCGCAGGCCGGGTCCTTTCTTACCTCAAAAATCAGTGTTTTGGCTGTGATACCTCTTCACACAGCTCTATCATTTGATAATGATATAGCCACCTATATCATTATCACATATACTGTATATATACGTCCTCTGGATATATATCAGTATATAAGTTTATAACATATATGAAATACTCATAATACAATATGTATATACTGTGTATCAAAAATGTCTATATGATGAATTTTTACATGCATGGTATAAGATGCTGTGACCATATATGTTAATACATTTAATAAATTTAATTCATATATGCATGTTTATTAAAATAATATACATTAAAAAATCTAGATGTTTGTATATGTTTTTCTTATTAATTGCTCATTAATTCTAAACATGTCTATCTTCTCATTCTGGGAAAGTGCTCTCAGACTTTTGGACCTTACTGTTTATAATATCAACACTTAGTGACAGGGTTTGGAATGGATATATATATATTTACATAACATACAATATAAGCATACATACATAAAGATACATATTTGTATGGGCTGGACATAAATGTCAATATGCATTTTTTACAATTTCCAACAGATTCCATATAAAACCTTTGCATATGTGCTTTTATTTTATATGTAAATATATGCAATATATGGAAATTCAATATATGTACATATATTACATTTGTGCATGGGTGGTGATAATGATACTGTTACAACCAACCAACCGTTGTTTTAATTAACTTGAATATATGAATTAAATATATATATATATATATTTATCAACATATATGGTCACAACTTACCATATAAATAAACAAACATATTTGTATTTATATCTTCAAATATCCAGAGGATGTATATATGTGATAATATTTTAATCACCTTATAGGTACATACATACACATGCATGGCAACATCACTGTTGATATAGGGACATATATATTATATATAACATTTCTGTATGATTTTACATTAAAAACATATGCTCAGCTTAGAAAACAGAATTCATTGTTAAATATCAAAGCAGTGGTTTCCAACCTTTTTGGACTGTGATCTCTTTCAAAAAAGCAGGGTGGAGTTTAAAGCCAGTCCTTTATACCTCTGAGTTCATTCAAGTCAGACACTGAGCAGCTTTTATCTCCCTCGTCGTGGCGAGGAAAGGGGGAGGCGGCGGTGTCTGAGCCTTGTGTGTGTGTTAGTTGTGATGTGTGAGTTGTTTTTGTGCTGCGGATGCAGGGCGGCTGGTAAGCCTCTGTCTAAGCAGAGTATCACTCATTAGCTGTGTGATGGCACATCATAAGCCTTTGTGCTGGCAGGTGCCGCCCCCCCCCCTCCCACAGGTTACACAGAATCCTGTGGCTCTGACAGCCGTGTTCAGCGGGACGTGTGAAGGAGATCTGAGGTGAAGTAAACTTGTGCCTGTCCTCATGATCCACCTTCCTGTCTGCCTCTCTGTGTGGGAGCAGCTGCAGTAAAGGATGACACGTCATGGCAGTGGCTACGCCATCACATTTCCTACTGCAGTGATTTTAAACTATGCTGTCACTCAGGAGAACATTTACAGATGGAGCATATGCAGAGCTACTTACTGTCAGAGCAGCAAGAAATAAAAAATTACTCAGCAGCAGGTTAATCACAACGAGTCTTCAAAATAAAAGCCCTTTAATGGAGACTCCACTGTACCTTTTTCTCCTTTCTTTATATCTCTTTCTGTAAGCTCGTGAAACCCAGTCCAATGATCTGGGTCAGTATCAAGTACAATCTGCTGTTCTCTGCCAAAGGATTCACTGCAATGCAAACTTCACTGCTGTGAGATGTGATTGAAAGCTCTGGAATATACTCATACAATAATATCCCCTCAATGATTATGGCTAATAAAATGATCAGTTTTCGTTTATAGAAATTCCTTTATTTCATGTGAAAAACAACCTTGCTCAACCTGTTGTGCAACAGCCGACTTGAAGCACCTGAGTCAACCGACGGGACAGTAACGGCATTACTCTGCGAAAACAGAATATCACAGAAACAGTGCAGGACGACATGATTCAACAACAGATGCACTGCAGCAGATTTCTGCAGTTTAAAAAGACTCCACTAACGTTAGATACAAAAACAAGGTAGACAAAGGTTGCACAGGTGATAAGAGACCAGGAACAGTTTGTATTAAAGAAAATGGCCTCAACTTTGACTTATGAGTCAAAAAATGTGCATGTTTGTAATAAGGATCCTCAGTGTGATATTCAAGCGTTGCATGAAATAGAACGTGGAAATAGAAATAGAAAGCTTCTATTATCATTGTACTGTGCAGAATGCAGTGATTTCTAAATGTTGCACAGTAAGGATTAAATTGATGTCGACCCAAATCCACTCCCTGAAGCATTGATTCAGCCAAAAGCGGATAACAGTTATCACATACCTTCCCCTGATTAACACTACCCATCGTTCATATACAACCTTATACACTGAACAAAAATATAAACGCAACACTTTGGTTTTTACTCCCATTTTTCATGAGCTGAAATTCTACATTTTTTCTCACCACACAAAAGCTTCTTTCTCTCAAATGTTCTTCACAAATGTGTTGAAACCTGTGTCAGTGAGAGTTTCTCCTTTTGTCGAGATACTCCGTCACCTGACAGATGTGTCATATCAAGATGCTGATTACACAGTATGATTATTTGACAGGTGGGCCTTGAGCTCGTCACAATAAAAAGGCTGTTTTAAAATGTGTAGTTTTAATTGCGTTGCCACCATTTGACTCATGCAGTGCAACACATATCCTCTGTACAGAGTTGATCAGGTTGTTGATTGTTTGACTGCTCCTCATCAACAGCTGAGTGAAGTTGCTGGATATTGGCAGGAACCTGATCACAATGTACAGTACATTCTACACACAGCCATGCTTAAGCTAAAGGAACTGTGTGCAGGTCCTTGCAACATGGGGCCGTGCGTTATCATGCTGCTGCATGGGACAATGGCAGCGGATGAATGGTTACATGTGGTCTGTGGTTGTGAGGCCAGCTGGATGTACTGCCAAAATTCTCAGAAATGACATTGGAGACTCCTTATGGTGGTGAAATGACAATTCATTTGACAGGTAACAGCTCTGGTGGATGTACAACATGCCAACTGCACGCTCCATCAAAACATACAACATCTGTGGCATTGTATTGTGTGATGAATGATGATTTTAAAGTGGCCTTTTTTATTGTGACCAGCTCAAAGCACACCTGTGCAGTAATCATGCTGTGAAATCAACATCTTGATATGACACACCTGTCAGGTGGATGGACGACCTCGGCAAAAGACAAGTGCTCAGATTTAAAAACATTATTGTACAAAATTTAAGAGAAAGATGCGAGAAAGTTTTAGATCTTTTATTTCAACTCATGAAAAATGGGAGTAAACAGTGTTGCATTTATAGTTCTGTTCAGTGTACATGCTTCAGTTTGCTGAAACATCTAAGGGGAAAGCTTATGTAAAACACGTCCCTGTAATTACCTCGTGTTATTTGGGATATTAATCATAACTATCTTAAATGAGGACAACAAAGTTTTCACTGACAACCATCTGTGGTGGTTCTATTAAATGTTATATTAGCTGAGCACGTTTGTATTCACTGTTTGCTTTTTAAAACAAACACAGATGCTGACCTGAAGTTGAGATATTGCCATAAAAAGTTAAGACAAACTTAAAACTTTGATATTATTTTATAGTGTCTTTTCTATATTGTGTCATTCATTCTCTTTCAAACTTACCAAAACCTTTTTATAATTGATATAAATGTGGTTAATGTGTACATTGGGTCAGTATCTATATGTATAATATTCCAGATAGCAACCATGGATACGGGCAACAGAACTGTGTATCACATTACTTCAATAAATGTTAGGTATCACCTGTGTTGTGTTGATGCTTTTTTTGTGCTTTGTTTCAGGAAGCTCCCAATCACTAAAGTCCTATAAAACCAGTGGAACCTGATCAATCTACAGAAGGCCTTCCTCCTCCTCCTCCTCTTCCTCACTGCCTCTCAGCCAGTAGACTGTGGGAGTCTCACACCACACTGTTCTTTTTAATTCATTTACCTAATAAACTTGATCCAACTTTGTTTACTCCTTCGTTTTTCTTCCCCCCTGAGCCGGGGTTGTGATAATTAGTGGAAACATGAATGCACTGACAACAAATCACACAGTGTCACATTTCAGATTTTTATTAGAAAAAAAAAAAAACAATAACAGTTATTGACCCTCAAATTTTTCTCTCCAATAATATAATCACATCCCAAAAATAACAACACCTCCCCGTCTTTCAAGTCGACACACTGCTTCCTGTCCACCTTCATACAGTGGAGGTCCTAAAGGTCTGAGTGGTCCCCACTGTATATAGAGCTCCTTGGATCACTATACGGCAGGTACAGCAGCAACAATCAAATTACATAGAGCAGTTTATGGCAGCAACAAAACTTCCTTCTGGAGGGGAATGACACAGCTGGGCTCATGTTTCTTACATCCTCTGCTAGTTTCCATCAATTCTTCCTCTCATCGTCTGTCTGAGATGGGAGGTAAACTAAGGCCTCATCCTTTATTGTGCAACATCTGGATTCCACAAAGTCATTTACAGCTCAACTGAAGTCAGACGTGTGTTTACAGAGTCAGAGCTCTGCTGCGTTTAAGATGCAAAGAACTAAAAGCCTTACATTCTTCCATAGCAAACATGAGACAAACACTTGATCTTATCCTCACACACACACAGATATAATATATATACTTGTACATTTCTATTCTGTCCCCATTGTTTGGTTTGAGACTTTTCTCTAGCCTGACACACACACACACCCTGCCCCCCCCCGGCCTGAACAAGCCCATTTAAAATGTCAGAGGAAAAGAAACAAACAGGATCAACATCCTCTCAGATTGGTGCAGATTCGTTCTTACAGCTTTCAGGAATAAAAGTGATGAACTGAAAACCACCTCATGACCACAGTTCTGCATGTTTGTGAATAGTTGAGAGTGTACCCAGGACTCCTGAGAGGTGGAAAGTTTCTGACATAAAAAGTTTCTGCTCAGCACCTTCCCGCCTCTGAGTTGTTGTGAGCACACTATTAAAACAAGATAGCTATAACTTCTGTAGAGCACTGTACAATATTATATTATGCCTGTTGCAACGCAGAGCTGTACCAGAGCTTTCATCCGACTCCACTGGCACAAACATAAACTGTGTCTGTGATGATGAACAAAAGATGAAACCTACATGATGTCTTTTGACAAAAACTATTATCTTCACTACCTCAATATGTAAATCAACAGCTTTGAAAAAAATAAACATACAGGACAATTAAATTACAAACAGATGGGGTATCATAGAAGAGTTTACACTGACATGGATCTTTTCACTAGAGTTTTGTACTGCCAAAACACAGCAGAATAATATAACATGGTGAGAATGACTAAGATTCAGCTTGTCATTCGAGACTGACACCCTCCCCACCCGCTCCACCCCTGAGCCCAACAGTCCTCCGTTGTCACGGAAACCACGAGACAACCAAGTGCGAAGGTTCTACTGCTGGCCTTCCTTCTTCTCTCCCTCTGAAGAGCCCGAGCTGCTGCTGCTGCTGCCGCTGCCACTGCTGCTGCTGCCGTCCCGCTCTGCTGCCATCTGCAGGAGGGAAGGAGGAAGTTCACAGGTCAGTGATGTCAGGAGACAGTAACCCTGATCATTTATTTTTGTCCCGGAGGTGTTTCCAAATTACTGAAATATAGTCAGTGTTTAACTGGTACATTCCAATTTATTACAAATTATTTCTACTGTCTAGAGTCTGTTTTAGTCAGAGCACAGCAGGTTTAGAAGTAAACAAACAACTGAGACAATAAATTGATTGTTGGCAAAAAATAATCTGCAATTATTTCAGTAAATAATAAAAGTAATTTTTCAAATAAATGCCACACATTCCCTCCTTACAGACTGTACATTGTGGGGATTTGCTGCTTTTCTTTGTTTTATCAGGAAGTAAACTGAGAAGATTTAGGTTAGCGGTGTTGATCAAACTTCTCATTTTATTAGGTTTCAGGAAATGAGATTTTTCACTATATCCTGACATTTTATCGACCAAAAGATTAATCAATAAAATAAAAATCTACACATTAAAACAAAGTCATATTCAGCTGGAGCTGTAAATAAGAATAATAATAAAGAACATGTTTATGACAAAAATAATGAATAAATATTTTATGGGGGTTTATAATAGAGCAGGTCTTTTCTTTGGAAATCCCAATCCTCCCCACTCTTACCAGGGAAAAACATTTTGTGGTTATTGACTGTATCATGTCCTATATTATCATTTCACTATTTCTTTCATGAATCAATAGATTTCTTTAGAGATTATCCAACTTTTATTCTCTCTCTACCATTGTCAGTTAGTATTTCATTGTTGTCTGTGTAATAAGTTAATTATAAAATTCCATAAACTTCCATACTGCCAGGCTGGATAAGATCTGTTTCTGTGACTATGACTTTAACGGGTTCTTGAACAGCATCCTTTCTAACAGCCATGACATTGTGACAGTGTGAACGTTGTTCCTACCTTCTTGTAGGCCATCTCGAAGAGTTTGAGTGACGCCTGCTGCAGGTTGGTGGCTGCCTGTTTGATGTTCTCTCCTGTTTCTGAGTCCTTGTTGGCCAGAAGATTTCTGACCTTTGAGATCTCCTCCTTCAGCTTGGTGCACTGCGAGAGGACGGATTGGAGAGGAGACATGAATAAATGAATGAAGGTGCGTTATGTGTTAAGGCATGAGCAGTACGCTATTATTTATCCTTCCCAGTTTAACTGAAACGACGTCTGTATGAGGCTTTCATCAATAAGAAGTGGGAGTGGTTTCATCTAAACTGGGCAGGACTCACTTTCATGTCATACCCAGAAAAAATCCTGTTATGTCTTATTCTGTATACACTGGTACAGACAAATGATCTTGCAGACAGTGTTGGATGCCTCCCTCCTGTTTTACCTCGTCAGCAGGAAGCTGGTCCTTGAACTCCTCCATCTTAGATTCTGTGTCATGGATGATTCCTTCAGCTGTGTTGACGGCCTCCACACGGTCCTTCACACAATAACACACAGCGAGGAAACAGTCAGTTAATGACATTAAACAGGCTTACTGTAATAGAATTGAACCAAGAGCTTGAACAAACAAATCTGCAGTTAGCACCACTTTTAAAAAACACAGCAAGTGTGTATCACTAAATTTAGAATCAACTTCAGATGCAAAGACTCATCAGTTCCAGTTTGTAGCCTTTACCTTCCTCCTCCTGTCCTCCTCTGCATACTTCTCAGCATTCTTGATCATGTTCTCGATGTCGTCTTTACTGAGACCTCCTGAAGACTGGATCACAACTGAGGAGGAGGAAACATGAGAGCATGTTTACACAACAAGCAGCAGTCTGACATGTTGCTAATCTGCCAATTAAAGCTTTAAATGCAGCTCTGAACCTTTTAATTAAAGCCAAATATTCAGTGTTAATTTATTTGAACAACATTTCATAAGAAAGTACTGAAAGATACAGTTACAGTCCATAAATATTAGCGTTTACAATTTAATCCTTCTTGCTGAGGACTTCAAACACTAATGCTAAAACAAGTGTTCAACAGTCATATGAAAAAAATACATCAAGAAAAGATCTTCCACCACGTGAGTGAAAACGCACAATAATCATCAATCAAACAGAGAAGAACTTGGTTACTGTTTTACTGTAACCTCAGACTGACGGCTGACACTCACTCTGCTGTTCGCGGCCTGTGCCCTTGTCCTTGGCGGAGACGTGGACGATACCGTTGGCGTCAATGTCAAAGGTGACCTCGATCTGAGGGACGCCGCGGGGCGCTGGGGGGATCCCCACCAGGGTGAACTGACCCAGCACCTTGTTGTCTGACGCCATCTCTCTCTCACCCTGACACACCTTAATCTCCACCTGAGTCTGCCCATCGGCTGCTGTGGAGAACACCTGGATGGGAGCGGAGGAGTCATGTACTTTAGGTGATGTGGTGTTTAAATTTTTCATGATGGCGGCGGCGGGACGGTGGTGGTGTACGTACCTGGCTCTTCTTGGTGGGAATTGTGGTGTTCCTGTTGATGAGTTTGGTGAAGACTCCACCCAGAGTCTCAATACCAAGAGACAGTGGGGTCACATCCAACAGCAGCACGTCAGTGACGTCACCGGCCAGGACGCCACCCTGGATGGCTGCTCCTATGGCAACAGCTTCATCGGGGTTGACAGACTTGCTGGGAGCGCGGCCGAACAGGTCCTGAACCGTCTGCTGAACCTACAGAGACAAACACGTTTCTCTTATGCAGTAGTCATACTTTAAGTCAGCAAAATACAACTCTAAAAAAAAAAAACAACTTTATTTTAGCCTCTTCAGCCTCTTTTAAATCAGACACATTTTCACAGGTGTGCTTTCTCAGAGCTTGAAGTCTGAATCTACTTGTAACTTCTTAAATCGATTATTATATTAAGTCATTCTTCTGTTTCTTATCTTAGAATCTTATCTCATTTTTATTGAACCTTATTGCCGCACCTCTCTCATAACTCCTCCCCAATGTTTATCTTGACTGTTAAGGCACTTTGTAACTGGGTTTTAAAGGGTGCTACATAAATAGCAATGATATCTAATTAATATATTATTATTATAAGCCAGTAATTTAAGTGTATGCTAGTTGCTCAACATCTCAGTGTTGCCGAAACCTTCCACAAAAATAAAATCCACATTACTAATTTCGGCAAAAGCAGATGTCACACTGCTCACACCAGTGTCTGGATTATGTCACACTCCACAGTGACCCTTCAATGGAAATGAACATGACTAATTAACATGTGTTGTGCCTGTTAGAAAACCCTGTAACCATGTCTCCCATTTTAGCTGATAGCTGTGTTGATTAATGTCCCCCTGCAAACCGACCTCTGGACTCAGATCCAAAGACCACAATGGAAGTAAGTGTTGGGATTTCTTGTGTTGTCCTTCACAGTTTTGTAGCGCAGTGTGACTTAATGGCTCATAATATACAATAAACTAGACAAAAAACTCATTACATACATTTTTATTGTTAATATGTTATTGTTAAGTGTGTTATAGTGTGTGTGTGTGTGAGTGTGTGTGTTGTGTACCTTGGGCATGCGGCTCATGCCTCCGACCAGCAGCACCTCTCCAATGTCTCCCTTGGACACCTCTGCGTCCTGCATGGCCTTCTGACAGGGGGCCACGGTGCGGCGGATCAAGTCGGCCACGATGCCCTCAAACTGTGCGCGAGTCAGCTTCATGTTGAGATGTTTGGGGCCGGAGGCGTCCATGGTCAGGTAGGGGAGGTTGATGTCAGTCTGGGAGAGAGAACAAACACAATGTGATCACATTCAGTTTCACCACATCAAATTAGCTGGAAGAAAATGTCTGACAGTCATGGATTAATCGTTCTTTGCTTCTGGTTCATTCAATATCAAATACTCAGCATTGCTGTAGGTGTCTTCTTGAGATTATTGACTTGTCAGCCGTCTCATTTCAGCCACTCAAATTAAGGTTTAGGCCACAGGATGCTGTTCTAACCGTCATGTAGCTCAGATATGATGCAGAACAACTGATCAATACACTGAGTTCTGACTCTATCAATAGAAATCCAGATGGATTACAATGTGATTAGATTTCGACCCTCAATGATGGTGTTCATGCTTAATTATGCATGAACACAAAAATAACCATCGTCCTGGGTTTCAGTGGGTTTAATGTCCCTTGGTCAGAGTGTTAATGTCATTATTTTATAAACATAAATCAATCCCTTCTTCATTGGAAAATCTAAGAAGAAAAAAAAAAAAAAAAAAAGTAGCACTGGAATTAAAAAACTTCAGAAGTTTGTCTGACCCTGTGGTCGGCCCGCCCTGCTGTCAGAACCAGGACAGGCCACTCTGGGCCGAGCCCTGCGGCAGTTCAACAGCAGCACGCTCTAAAACAGAAGCTGCTGCAGTCAAACACACAGAAGCTTCCTCTACCAGCACTGTAACACTGAGCCAAACACACACTGCCTGGACAGCTGACTGAGAGCTGGACTGCAATCATGGACAACAAACTTTTTAGTAACCGTTACGTTCTAAAGGTACGACAGCGTATTACGACCACTTTAAGTAACAACAAATAAAAATGACAACTGCAGGAACGGTGGTAATAATCCAAGAAAAAAAGACAAATTTTCCAAAATTATAAAATCATACACTTGTAAGAGATTTCTTTTTGAAAAGTTGTGGGTTTTTTTTTTGGTTTTGTTTTATGTCAAGGAACCACATCGCTTCACTTTGCAAGGTTGGATCAACCTCATCACACCACAGATGCTGCTGCTTGCAGAGCATTATGGCTGCCAGCTGATGACCTAATCAAATTATACTTTGCAATCTAAATCTGGTGGTTAAGTCCTTCGTCTGTTGTTTTTTTTTCTCTTTGTTTTTAATATCATGGAAGACTTTAACATGTTATGATAACATGTGATGTTCGATGCCATTAAGTTAAATTTTTGTGCAAGACGTGACCGCAGATCAGAAGAACAGAAATGTAAATGCAGCTGTTATACTTAAACAATCGGTCTTTCTCACAGAAGACATTTTGACACTGACATAAAAAAAAAATTAAAAAAAAGCCTAATCTGTTGTTAACTGGCATCATAATGTATTGACCTGTGTGTTGAACTCATCTGTATCATGTTCGTACCTGCAGTGAAGAGGACAGCTCACACTTGGCCTTCTCCGCAGCCTCTCGGACTCTCTGAAGAGCCATGTTGTCTTTCAGCAGATCCACACCAGACTGGAACGACAGGCACAACAACACACATGAAAAACTCAGAGTCGCAGACACAACTACAGGCCAGAGGCTCGTCTGAAGACAGACTTAAACTGTGTACCTCTCTCTTGAACTCCTTGACGATGTATTTGAGGAGGTGCTGGTCAAAGTCCTCTCCTCCCAGGAAGGTGTCGCCGTTGGTGGACTTCACTTCAAAAACTCCTTTCTGGATCTCCAGGACTGAGATATCAAACGTACCTCCACCAAGATCATACACAGCAATACTGAAAACAGACATGAGTCACTTTTAAAACACAGCCCGCTCAGGATAAAACATTCATCAGTTTGTTTCTGTGTTTCGGTCAGAACTGGTGCAGTGGTGGTGTTTTTACATCTCGACTCACATCTTGTCCTGGGTCTTGTCCAGGCCGTAGGCCAGAGCAGCGGCTGTCGGCTCATTGATCACACGCAGGACATTCAGACCAGCGATCTGACCAGCATCTTTGGTGGCCTGAGAATCAAAACACATACATTCGACAACTGATCAATGACAAAACAAACATGTTTGATCAGATGTGAGTGTCAGGGTTGTGCAGAGTTCACCGAGTTCTATTTCAGAACTTCGAATAACACACAGAACTTGATTTCATGTCTGCTTCACCATCATACCAGGAAAAACAGTGTTTGCCACTGTCCCAGCAACCTGACTTTTAGTTTATACACTCAACGAGCACCTCAACACCACATCAATACTTAGTAGGTTCCTCCCTTTTCTCGCTCTAAGAACAGCCTCAATTCTTCCAACACCTTCCACAAGATGTTGGAAACTGCTCCATGTTAACATGACTGCATCACATCATTTCTGCAGATTTGTCAGCTGCACATTCATTCTGCCAATCTCCTGTTCTACCTCATCCCACAGGTGCTCTACTGCATCCAGGTGTGGAGACTGGGGAGGTCACTGGAAGTTCACTGAACTCACTGTCATGTTCATGACACAGATCTTAAGCAGGTGCATAGGTTCCTAATAAAGTCACAACATCTCCTGACAGCCTGCCCCTCGTCTCAATGTCAGCTGGGATTTGATTCAGCCCCCCTGCAGTGCTAAAAAAGGACAAGGTGTATAGCTAATGGGAGGATGAAATTCAAGATAAGTGCCTTCTAGGGATTTTTTGAGGAAATTAATTTCAGTACTTTTCAAAACCTGCAGATAACCCACAAACATCCCTTCAGATTTACACCCACATTAAATGTTCTCCAAACAAACACCAGCAACACAAGAAAGTAACTGTCTGAAAGTTTATTATCCTGAGGGTCTTTTCCTGTTAGAACCTCAAATATGAAAAATCAGAAACTACACGCTATACAGCCTGATTCAAGTTACTCAAATGTAATTCTTTTTAGCTGATAGGACACAGATCCATTTGAATTATCAGAGCAACTAAACAGGGAAAAAGAACACTGTTTATAGAATTTATCGACATGTTTTTGTTTCCTTAAAATGTTTCAATCCCAACCAGTCGAGGCAGACTCTGAGTGCCTCCTCATTGTGGGAACTGTTTGAGTATGTATCTACAATATTATAAGATCTTACCTAACTCTGTAAAGTGCCTTGAGATAATGTATGCTGTGTTGTGATTTGCCAGGAAACTCTTTCCATGTTTCCTTTTTTTTTTCTTCATCAGTGGAAACAGGTGAAAATTAGTTCGTCAGGATTTTGTTTGTTGTTGTAATACTCATTTCAGCCACAAGACGCTTAAGTGCAGAAAGACCAACATCTGTGTGTGTACCTGTCTCTGAGAATCATTGAAGTAGGCTGGTACAGTGACGACAGCGTTCTTCACTTTGGTTCCCAGGAAGTTCTCTGCAGCACAAACACAAAATTATAACCACAACTGATTCTCACATGTGGATGATGTAAACGTCAAAGAAACGATGGTGATATTTATTCAGTGCGGTTGCAGTCTCACCTGCGGTCTCCTTCATCTTCATGAGGACGAAAGCTCCAGCCTGGCTGGGGGAGTACATTTTCCCATGAGCCTCTACCCAAGCATCACCATTAGATGCACGGACAATCTTGTATGGTACGTTCTTCCTGTTAATAAAAAGACGCCACAATTTTCACTTAGTCTGTGAATCTATTTGTTCTGGGTGAGTAAATAAGTTTTTTTTTTTTAATAAATGGTGGATACAGTCAAACGAGGGGAAACACTTAACACAGAAATTGACAAAGGTCTTCAACATGTGAGTGTAAAACATTGTCAAACGTTACTTCTGAAATTGTTAGATGCAACGATGCAGAATAACCAGCTTAAAGATGAACTCACAGGTCTTTCTGGACCTCAGCATCGTCATAGCGACGTCCGATCAGTCTCTTGGTGGCGTACAGAGTGTTCTGAGGGTTGGTGACTGCCTGGCGTTTGGCGGGCATGCCCACCAGACGCTCCCCATCTGCTGTGAAGGCGATGACTGATGGAGTGGTCCTGGCTCCCTCTGCGTTCTCCAGCACCTAAGAGGAAAAGAAAAACTCTTTGTTTGCTTCATCAGACTGGGAGCGCCACTATTCATCTACCACTGTTCACTCCATGCTGTCCTTCATCTGCATAATATGTCATCTTCTTGGTTTTGGTGCAGAGTGCAAATCATACTGTTAAATGAATAACTAAATCACCTTGTTTTACAAACAGATCCTTTTTTCCACTCAACTAGACCTAGATAAGAATATTAGAGATATTTGAATGGACAACATTTTACACCACCACAAACCTATAACAACTTCATTAATAATTCTCTGACAGTATCAACAAAAACTGGACTTTATAATCTCCCTAGATGCTGACTTTGCAGCAGATCTGATGTACTGGACTGCATTAAACTGTACAGGTGTACATAATAAATTGGCAAGGGGGTGTATTTACTAGTAGGCAAAATTCTGGTCAGAGAAACATCTGACACTGGCATCAGTGAGTAAATGGGATGAACTTTCTATATATCCTATACTGAAGAAATCAGTAAGTATAGAAAGTATAAACTAAACGCCTAAAGGCACTAACTGTTATTTGCACACATTAAATGCATCAGGTGCCTGACAGTCAGAGGTCTGTACTGTTGACTGAAAAAAACAAAAGAGTTAAAGACTGATGAAACAGCTTATACAAACTCAATGCCGGAAGGAAAACTGGTTATTTTTAGTCAGTTTCAACCTATTCAGTCCAAATAAGTCATAAGTCCTTTATTTAGTCAATCAGAAATCTAGTCTAATCAGAAGTCTAAAACATATTGAAATTCTACTTGTTAGGCATTACTTTAACCAACATCAGCTGTAGTCCTTCCTGGACCCTTATAATGTGACCATGGGCTGTAGCTGTTCAAAATGAAACATGCATTTGCACCAATATACACTCAGAGAGAGTGTGTGTGTGTGTGTGTGTGTGTGTGTGTATCTGGCTATTAATGACATATACAGCTATCTGAAGGACAGATATTCTGCACCACACTTCAGTAACATGGCAACAGGATCATCAAGTATATTATAATCCAATTTAAAGAGAAACTTAGATTTCTCAGTGTGTAATCGTCAACATTTAGCATTCAATTTTTGACATGTTGAACTGTTGAGGAAAAAATGCTAACACTGATCAGCTGAGCTAGAAAAGAAATGCTTTAATCAAAACCTGACCACATTCTCTACTGTGTGTAACAGACATGAGACATGTCTGCTCATCCTCACCTTGGCCTGTTTCCCCTCCATGACAGCAACACATGAGTTGGTAGTTCCCAGGTCAATGCCAATGACTGCTCCCTTGACAGCTTCTGACCTGCAACACACACAAAAAAAAAAACTTACTATAAATATGTCATGCACATTTTAGAAAGCAGTTCTAATTCACTAGAATCTACTTCATCTTCACAGGATGTTTTACTGAATGTGTCTTGGAATAACCCACAATCATCATAAACACTGTTTGCTCCTATGTGAGTTTGCTTCTTTTCACTCTGCTACTAATAATCATTTTCAACAGGACATTTAAAGTGATTTGATGGGATTTTGTGGTAATACTTACGCATAGTCTCTCCTGGATAGGGCTCTGAGGGCATCTGGTTGGAAGCCACTCCAGCATGCCTACGAATACATCACAAAACAGACGCACAACTGTTACCAAATATTACCAAGACCGTTATCAAAGTGGCCAAGTGAATTACAAAGAATAGAAATGAAGAAACTCAAGTAACAGAACACAAACAACCTTAGTATGTCGTAAACTTTTAGAATCTAGAGGCAGTAAAATGTTGAAGGACTAGATCGATTAGATCATATGTGCTGAAATGTTACCATCCAATGATGTAAAGAAGCTGGAAAACTAATACTGCTGACCATACACAGGTCATGAGTGTATTAATAAAATTTTGGGACATGTGAGAAATGTTGCAGCATGCTGGGGGTGGGGAAACATCACTGAAGGTCACTGACTTGGAACAGATGAAGCACTGTCTCACATCATACAGTGAAATATGCAAGTCAGCATAACTTACATTTGTAAACGTATGGCACACGGATATAGTTCAAATTAACACAAAGTGCAGTATGTATTTAAGACAAATGGGTGACAGATTAGCCGTCAAATGGAAGATGACACGCGTTAGCTTTGCCGTTAGCACATCATATTACTCCCACCAAAGCAAGGCAATGACGTTCACATAGAGTGGTAACATTATGTTGCGTAGCATCACTCAATAAGTGTGTTTCAAAAGTCAGGTAAATGACAATTAAATAGATATAGATAAACACGATTTCGTAACCGGCCTCAAGCTAACTGTTAGCATGCTAAGCTAGCCGGACTTCGACACAAAACCGGATTTGTCATTTGTCGTTATATTAGATATCAGCCGTGTGTTTCAATTGTTAATATGAGTTTGTTTGAACTAACCTTCTTGACCAGAGAGGACACATTTCTTGTGTAGGTCCTTGTCGGGAGAGTCCTTGAAACGTTTCTGGCGACACTCAACATTTTGACAATTCGGCTAACGGTAATTAAATTTAATAAAAATGTCCGCAGCGTTTAATGTCAAAACAGAATCTCCGAACTGGTGAAGAGCAAAGAACAGCTAAACGATGTTAAATGTCCAAGTGTCGTCAGACGTCCAGGAGAAAACTGTAGAGCTCAAGTCGAGCAGCACCGCTTGTCTTTGGACTTAAACAGCAAAGGGACTGCGAAGCTTCTTCTGGAATTATCCAACACATGTTGCACCATGCAACGCTAAAGGACCCCAAATCGGGCTGCCTGTTTACTGCCTGAATAGGTTTTACAGTTTAAAAAAATATTATCGAACTGTTTATGAATTTACCATGCATGTTTTCTTGCTAATATGATATAGTTGTTATAATCCCTGTTTTTAATATCAACATTTGACAGATTTGTCCTATTTTATTTTATTTTTTTTGATTTTGTGATTAGGCAGAGAACAGGGCAGCTACACGTAGTGGGCATGTGAAGGTCATGATGTAACGAGGGGTGCGCAGGAGTTTCAGTGTGTTACATCCTATGGTTACATCCCATGGTTACATCAGGGATGTTGAATGAACAAAGGCTACCTGCTGCACCATGAAATGGTATTGTTAATACAGAAACTTGTATGTACATACAATAATATGTGTAAAATCTAATAATAATACACATATTGTATTTCTGTGGTCTGTGTTTTAATACCTGCAGTTCTAACCAAATCTCCTCCGGAATACTAAAGTTGAAGTTGAAGTTTCGGACTTATTTACATTCTTACCCTGTACACATCTGAGAAATGTGTATCTGTAATACAAGTGGGAGCAACTTTCTTAAAACTACGAGCAACCCTTTTGATAGCTCTCCGCTGTAGTTTTTTTTTTTTTTTTGGTGAAAGTGACATCTGTACTGGTGCAAAGATTGGAAAAATAAATATTGTACACAATAGAAAAAGGATTCAAAAGACCAGAAGAAAATGCACACAAGTGATTAGTTTGTGGGTCACTTTGATAACGTTTTGGTGTGTTACCTTTACTTTATCTGCATTATTTTCAGAGGCCACCATCAATGATGCCCAGGTACATTATTTGTACCGCTGAGGAGGAAAACCTTTCTGAAACTAGGACTGCAACAATTGTTTTTGTTATTGATTTATCTGTATTAATTAACCATTTTCTCTATGAGAATTTTAAAAATACTGAAAAAGCCTTATTTTCATATGTGTTATTCCAAAAAGGTTCATGTTGTCTCCACTGCACTTCATTTCAGATGTCTTGTTTTATCTGACCAAATATATTCATCATAAAGCTAAGATGAGGAAAAACAGCAAATCACCACAATGGAGAATTTTGAACAACAAAATGGCATTTTTGATTGAAAAATGGCTCATTATCAAAATATTTGTGGATTAGATGAGCAGTTCAGTTCAGATCAGAACAGTTTAATTTCCACTATCAGCATCTCTTTAATTTGGAGGCAAGGAAAATTACCATTAGGGATGAAAGTCTCTCCATCATTACCTTTGATACATTACAGCAGCATCAACACATTTCATTGAGGTGATATTTCAGAAAATCCTATGACAAACCAATGATGTGAGTTTCACATATTGTCCACTGGAGGGCAGAAATGAGTAATTATAGAAGCCAGTATGTAACATGTCATCATCCATGACAAAACCTTGACCAAGACACCTGCTCACCTTGTTTTTTTTTTAATGGATTTATAGGGGGAAAAAAAAGTCTTATATTTGTTATTTTTTTATATTTGCTTTATTAGATTATCATGATTTTTATCATGTTTATCCAGTGTGTTGGTTCATTTTATTGAATGTAATGTATTCAATTCAAAAAATTGTGATATGCCTTTAATTCAGGCTGTGATTTCTGATTGTTGCACAGTAGTTTTGTTAATATTTTTTAAAGGCCCTTAGTCACCAGTAGCTGCCCTGCACACTGACCAAAATCAAAGCTGTGGCATAAGATGAAATACCTTTGATTATGTTAATATATGTGGTGAAAAAGGAAGTGTTGTAGCAAACAGTTAATGATGGAACACAGCAAAGAAAAAAATGTGGAAATCATCATCATGAACACAACAAGAGTGACATATTTCACTGTAGAAAATAATAACAGAATGTTCATTAGACACCAACACAAGTCCTGCTAACACTGTGAAAAGTGTGTATGTATTAAGGTGTGTACAACAATTAAACTTTTACAACAGATTCTGTGTACATATGTGGATCATTTATTGTATTAGGATATGTATGTGTGTTGCCAGCTTCCAAAACTCTAGACGGAGGAAAATAACAATCTGATACAGTCAACATGATGGATTAAGTAAGTAAAAATTAAATGAAATTGGACAGATAGAAGTAATGAAATAGTTGTCCAAGTGAGTCCAGAGCATAAGGGCTGTGGGTTTAAAGATTGTTTGGCAAACAGGAAGTCATGCTCTGTCATTCACTGTGTTCATCCAAACAATTTAACCTCTCTCCTTCTTCTTCCTCTTCTTGCTAGTTTTTCCTGTTTCCTGTTCTCTATCCCCACTGAAGTCTGGGTTTGAACTTGAACAAGCTGACACTATGTGATGCCACCCAGTTCTGAAGGTCATTGTCCTGGCAGGCGTACTTAAACCTTACAGAATGGACATAAAACGTACTACATGTCCAAAAATGGATATTCAACATGTAACCACAGCATTAAACCATTCATGTGTAAATATTTTATTGGGTATAAATCATAAACAGCCTGGACTGTTGACACAAGGCAGGTTCTGTTCTTTGTGACAGGAAATGAAACCTGACGTGGTCTTCTGCTGTTGTAGTCCGTCCACCTCAAGGTTCAACATGTTGTTCATTCTGAAGCTTTTCTACTCAGCACACTTGTAAACATTGTGGCAGGACAGAGAAGCAGCTACAGCTGCAGGAAACATCTCACTGTGCTGCAGAGAGGTTCAGGAGATCCTTTGTTCCCACTGCCATCAGGCTATACAACATCTCAGCCAAAGGAAGTGGACTAATCTAATTATTATTGTTTATTTATTATTAACTGTTTTTATTATTATTATTACTTATCAATAATGAGCTAATGGACACATGAATTTAGGGCAGGGGTCGGCAACCCACGGCTCTGGAGCTGCATGCGGCTCTTCAGCCCTTCTGCAGTAGCTCCCTGTAGCTTTGAAAAAAAAAAAATAAATAAATAAATAAATAAAGACTATTTTTTATTTTCTTTTTTTCTTTCATTTTAAAGAGAACACCTCAATTTTTCGAGATCGAGGTGATACTGATAATATTTCGTCGACTGAAATATATGTCACATCTTACAATGTCTCCATAGCAACATTTACAGCCTACCGCCTCTTCCGGCCGCCAATAGGTGGCTAATCTTGAGTTTCAGACCCCTGGTAAGCTAACCATGGATAAAGCCAAAAAAAGAAAAGTCTCGGAGGAAAATAGAGAGTTTAATTCTGAATGTCTGGACGGTTGAATGCTGTACTTGGCTGAGGATAAAAACTTTTTATTTTTTAATCCTTCACAAATAATGAAGGACTCAATAGGCCTGCATAGTTCTGCGTTTCATTTAAGAGTAGGCATACACATGCCAGTGTTTTTTTCTCCTATTCATAAGAGTTTGGTGTTTTCCTTTGTTATAACAGGTAAAAACAGCAATAAAATGTCAACAGTTTTTTTTGTAGTTCCATAATTTCATAAATGCAATAAACTATAGTTCTTTTATATATAGTAAAACTATATATAAAACTTTAAAGCTGTGTTATCTTCATTTTAAGGGTTGAATAGGTTTTACGGCTTCAGATGATTTTCATTTGTGGAAGAGGGGCCAAAAATAGCCATTTTAGTAATAAAGGTTGCAGACCCATGCCCTAGAGGATAAATAAAGTATCTATCTATCTATCTATCTATCTATCTATCTATCTATCTATCTATCCTATTCGGACCTGGACCGACAATAGATGACGGTTGAGGAATAAATGGGAAAAGAGAGAAGGAGAGACAGAGAAAAGGAAGTATGAAAGCTGTTCTATTGTTAAAATATGTTGAGATAGTTTATTATAAAAATGGTTGAGAATTTTTGTACTTTTTGTAAAGTTAAGCACTTTATCTTAAGATTCACATTTTTCAAAAGCTGCCAGGACTGTATTTATTACAGCCCAAATTCATAATCCCTCCAGTTAACCAAGCATCTAGCCCGGAGGCTAAAAAATGAACAACATCGAAGCACCAAAATGCAGTTCCCCCAATGGCCACTAGAGTCTTGCTCCAAAAGTGAGTCAATCCCTGTAGACTCCCATGTTAAAATGTCCAACTTTACAGCAGAAATAAACATGTTTACAGCCTGGTACAAAAAACAGTTTTGGTCTCTATAGGTAATAAAGTTCTGCATAATTAAGGGTGTGCTGCTTAGAGTGACACGTGGGTGAGCGTATGCTTGGCACAAACTGGCGTGCACTGAAGTCTCCACATGCACCCCTCTTCTTTGTCCATTTTTGGATTAGCTGGGAGTTAGGGGCGGAGTCAGACACTGCCTAAATGGCTACAGTGGAGCAGCTCACTCTGAGCTTCGCTCTTCAGAAATTTGTGGGTGACGTCACAGAGGCTACGTTCATCTTTATTTAAAGTCTATGCAGTTAACCCTAACTCTGACACTAACAATCATGCAATGGTTAAAGTCACTGAGTCACGTTTTTCTCTCATGATGTGATGTTTGATGTGAACTTTAACTGAAGCCCCTGACCTGCGTCTGCAGGATTTTATACATTGCAGTGCTATCACATGATAGGTTGATTGGATAATTGCATTAATAAGCAGGTGTACAGGTGTTCCTAATAAAGTGCTTGATGAGTGTACATCCAATTAGCAGTCTCAAGAGAAGTTAGGAATGATGAGGGAATCTCATATAGTTACCTGACCCACCTCAATCTTATCATATGAATATGTAAATTGGCAGAAATGTGTTTGTTTTTAATTCTGGATTTGATTTTTGATTTCCTTATGGGTTGATTATTTTGAGTTATTTGTTTATGTTGCATGATTTAGTTGTTGCATGAGTTGTTTTCTTGATACTTTATTAATATTGTGTTGTGTGTGTTTTTTTTTATTGATGTGTGTTTTTTTTGACATTTCTGCCATTGAGCCCCTGGACTGAGACAGTGGAAGTGGGTCAAATTAGCTCAAAGACTTTGCACCTGGT